CACAAATATTGTTTTTGCTTTCAGACACTCCTCCCACTCTTTGAATTTTGTCTGGTTTTGGTCTCTCTTTGCTTTTCCCTTTTTAAACTTCTGGATGGAAAGGGGCAACACAGAAAAATTATACCAACAATGCAATTTGCTGCTGACAAAAAAGATACTTCTAAAAAAGTATTATTTCCTTAGGGGACTAGCTCAGCTAAGTACAAAAAAATTTATATCAGGAACTCTTATTGGGTTACAATTATCATTAAATGTAAGAAATTTGCTTACGGAAAGTATTCACGGAGTTTCAATGTGTTTAGTGGAGAGGGACTTTCTGCCAAAAGTTGAATAAGGACTGGAGCTAACGCCATGTCGTATACCTAAAAGAAATTCATGTATTCATGGATCATTGCTTCAAAAATAAGATTGATAAAAGAGAGGGGGGGCTTATCAAAGGGAGGGGCTTATCAGAGGGGAGGCTTATCAAAGGGGAATGGCTTATTAGAGGGGGGGCTTATCAAAGGGAGGGGCTTATCAGAGGGGAGGCTTATCAAAGGGGAATGGCTTATTAGAGGGGGGGCTTATCAAAGGGAGGGGCTTATCAGAGGGGAGGCTTATCAAAGGGGAATGGCTTATTAGAGGGGGGGCTTATCAAAGGGAGGGGCTTATCAGAGGGGAGGCTTATCAAAGGGGAATGGCTTATTAGAGGGGGGGCTTATCAAAGGGAGGGGCTTATCAGAGGGGAGGCTTATCAAAGGGGAATGGCTTATTAGAGGGGGGGCTTATCAAAGGGAGGGGCTTATCAGAGGGGAGGCTTATCAAAGGGGAATGGCTTATTAGAGGGGGGGCTTATCAAAGGGAGGGGCTTATCAGAGGGGAGGCTTATCAAAGGGGAATGGCTTATTAGAGGGGGGGCTTATCAAAGGGAGGGGCTTATCAGAGGGGAGGCTTATCAAAGGGGAATGGCTTATTAGAGGGGGGGCTTATCAAAGGGAGGGGCTTATCAGAGGGGAGGCTTATCAAAAGGGGGACTTATCAGAGGGGAATGGCTTATTAGAGGGGGGCTTATCAAAGGGAGGGGCTTATCAGAGGGGAGGCTTATCAAAGGGGAATGGCTTATTAGAGGGGGGGCTTATCAAAGGGAGGGGCTTATCAGAGGGGAGGCTTATCAAAGGGGAATGGCTTATTAGAGGGGGGGCTTATCAAAGGGAGGGGCTTATCAGAGGGGAGGCTTATCAAAAGGGGGACTTATCAGAGGGGAATGGCTTATTAGAGGGGGGCTTATCAAAGGGAGGGGCTTATCAGAGGGGAGGCTTATCAAAGGGGAATGGCTTATTAGAGGGGGGCTTATCAAAGGAAGGGGCTTATCAGAGGGGAGGCTTATCAAAGTGGGGATGCTCATCAAAGGGGGGATGGCTCATTAGAGGGGGGATGGCTCATCAGAGGGGAGGGGGTTTAATAGAGGATTTATGGTATTTATTTTTTATTACAAAATATACCTGATGTTAAGGATTCATTGTCAATTTGTATGGCTCTTTGCTTTGCTACTTCAGCAAGCGGCAAATTACCAAGATCAGCTGCTAGATAATGAATGTCCTGACAAAGAAAGCAAATATACCTTTATCATTATCATCATCATGTTCTGGTTGACACATAATTTGACAAAGAGTTGAAAAATAAATTAAAACATAAAAGAAAGACATGAAATTTACCTAAGGATTTGTATAAGCCATACTGGAGCAAATTAAAACAATAGGACATAAGACCCCTACTAGGTTTAATTTAGAAACAAGTTAAAATACTGTTAACTTGTAGAAACAAGTTAAAAGACTGTTTTTATTCAAAGCAATCTTGATTAATAATTGGCTCACCATGAAAAGGTCTTTTGCTCCAATGTCCACAGCTAATAGAAATGCCTTTTCAAATCTTCTAAATCTACCATAAATATGTAAAAAAAGCAAAAAATAGTTCATTGTGAAACGATTTGCTGTGAACTTTATTATATCCAGGTCCAGTTACAAAGAAGCTAATAAAAATGGGAACCAATTCTGCTGAATCAAGTACAATGTGCATATCAATTAAAACCTTCAAAATTTCCATATTACCCAGTCAGAGATTTTTAAAATTTACAATTCTTCAAAATTGTAGATAATCATCAGTATCTAAGCTTTAACTCTTGAAGTCATCAATATTCATCTTTGGAATATCATAACATTCTTAGGCAGAAAGGTGACAAAAGAATGGGAAATATCAAATGGGGGATCTTTTCTGATCACACAGATTCTCAAAGCTAAGTATATGAGAGATGCATCGTAGACTTTAAAGGGGGGATTAAAACTGAGATGTCGGCTGGCTGGTATATAGTAACATAAACACCTAAGCAAGTGATGAAAGAATCTTCTGGACAATTTGCTGATCATATCTCTGTGATGTAGAACTGTTTCATCTGACAGTGGCCGGCTGGGTGCATAAAAACTACCAAGTGTCTCTTCTAGAAGACCTGCCGCGTAAAAAAATCATTTAATGCACAACGCGTATATCAATTAAGATCAAATGGTCAAGTTGGACATAACATAATTAGACAAAACTCCTGCAAACTATAAAACTTGAAAGTTATTAATATTGCCAAAGAAGAGATTAAGATTCATAAGTTTCAACAATGGTTTTTCTAATTACCTTCCCTCTCACAGTTCAGTGGAAGTTTTAGTAGATAATTCATAATAATTGACATGCATGCAAAACAAGCAGTCCCTTCGGTGTTCCAGTTCATACTGTTAAGGAAGTTCACTGCCTGCAAAAGAAAAAGAATATATCTGTATCACATATCATCATTAAACTTTTCCATAAAATCAGATGTTAGCCCTACTCTCTCCTTAGGATAAAATGTTGATTTCTGCGCTACATACTTCTTCAGCTTGTTCATGTTTGATGTATTCTGACACTAGTTCCACTGTGCCAAGTCGTCCATTCGTCAACACACCTAATTCAAGTCTCAACAAACACAAAGGTCCCCTGTAATATACAGAAAAAAGTCAAAAATTTTCAGAATGAAGACAGCCAATTTGGAAAGGTGATCATGCTGTTCACCCTTTGATACCTTAGAGCAACCAGCATCTAGTTGCTCCTTACAATATCACCCCTGAATCACGCATTAAGGTCAGGAGAATACAGGAAATGATCACCAGCTGGACGCTCTTGATTGTTATACAAATTCTCTCTGTCTGCACCTTATGAAATGTATAGAGAATAGTATAGAGAATTTGCATACTGATGTAAGGTTGTAAGGGGTCAATGAAACAAGGATAGTGACTGTGAGCTGTGAGTATTTTGGTGTGCCAATGCACCTCTCCAGGCACAACAAAACATCCATGGCTAGAGAAACAGCCATCGCTACTTACTAATAAATTGTGTATAATTCAATTCTACAAACCTGTCAAACAAGACTATCAAGTTGTCATGGCAACATAAACTGTTATCTGAGAGGTTACCAACAGGAGCTTCACATGACCAGGACACTTTATTCATTTTCACTGGGTTTCTACAGGACAAATTAAAAAAAAATTACCAAATTTCAGAAGTTAGAACAGAGCACCTCTCCAAGACAACAGGAAGAGACTGCCTTCCATGGCAATTAGATTTTATCCCTGCCACAGTTAGAAGAAGAGAGCACAAATATTGTTTTTGCTTTCAGACACTCCTCCCACTCTTTGAATTTTGTCTGGTTTTGGTCTCTCTTTGCTTTTCCCTTTTTAAACTTCTGGATGGAAAGGGGCAACACAGAAAAATTATACCAACAATGCAATTTGCTGCTGACAAAAAAGATACTTCTAAAAAAGTATTATTTCCTTAGGGGACTAGCTCAGCTAAGTACAAAAAAATTTATATCAGGAACTCTTATTGGGTTACAATTATCATTAAATGTAAGAAATTTGCTTACGGAAAGTATTCACGGAGTTTCAATGTGTTTAGTGGAGAGGGACTTTCTGCCAAAAGTTGAATAAGGACTGGAGCTAACGCCATGTCGTATACCTAAAAGAAATTCATGTATTCATGGATCATTGCTTCAAAAATAAGATTGATAAAAGTAGCATTTAAACCACCCAAGATCTAAAAGCCTCATAGAAAACTTTCATGAAAACTGCATTTGACACCGAGGATTATTTTTTTCCACAGAATACTGATGCATTTACCTTGATATCTCCATCAGCACTACACACCAACACCACAGCATCACCAGGATGCCATTGAATAATTGAAGGAATCTAAAGAAATGCAATGCATTCATTATTCA